TACAAAACAAGAAAAGAAAACAAAGGACATTATCATATACACAGCAGAACATGAGAGGATTCAATATAAAACAATAAATTTCCCGGTATCATAAATACTACATACTGTTTTCAAACCTACCCAGCTTTTCTTTGCTTCCCTGTAGGTTTCCTACTTTTTTTATTTTATATCTAATCTTTGTATACGTATTTCTTTCTTCCCTCCCCTCCCCAGTAGAATGTAAGCTACTTGAAGACTTCATTTTGTATTTGTATTCCTGGAACCCAGCACAGTTCTTGGCATGAATAAAGTCCTTGAAAAAAGGCTTGTGGAATGAATATTTTCACCCAAGTCATTGATAAAATCAGTAATAAGTAAAAAACCCCTTGTCATATTACTAGGGACATTCATTTATGTTGATTTCAAACTACTAACCAACATTTGTTCAAAACTATTGTTTAAGAAAGTATAACTTCACCTAAATGTACTATCATCCAGGCTATATATCTTCATCTTGTCTATAAAGATTTCCTGGAAGACTTTGTAAAATACTTCGATGAATGATAGTACAAGCTAGACAAATCTAGAGCTAAACAACAATTCCATAAGTGTTCATTTCATGAATGACTTGGATAAAAATTGAATGTATCGTTATCAAATCTACATCTAAGAGGCATAGCAATCAGAATACATGACAATATCACCTGATCTATCAGCCTATCAAACCAGACAAGGAAAGGAAGTTAGTCTGGCATGATTTGTTCTTAGTAGCCTCTTGTTCCTAAATTCAAAGATTTATGAACCCCAGAAGCTTAGATAAGAATGTACTAACAGCTTGAAAACTGCTTCTTTCTGTAGAAAAGCAATCTCTTTAACAAAGGGAAAGAAGTCTTTCAGGGCAATAGTAACCCGAATTCTTCTTTACCCAAGGGTACTCTGGAAGGCTACCTTTGCTAAGGAGCTAACCTGGAACTAACAGAGCCTCTACCCTAAGGACCAGTTAGAATTTGATTTGTAATTGTGCTTTGAATGAATAATTTTCTAAGTCAGAACTCCTCAAAGTAAAAAATTATCTTTGAGAAGAAGGTTTATTCATTCATTAATATTTACCTTATAACCACAAAAGCCCCTAACACTGTATCAATAGATCACAACAGAGAGCATTATCCCTATCCTTGGAAGGCAAACATAGATTATTTCATTCTTATGGTATTTTCAAAATGGGAAAAGATACTCATCTATCTAGAACAGGTTAGGCAGACCTAGAGGCAGAGGGATAATGGAATTTCTGAAGCCTTTTTCAAGCCCATCATTTCCGTGATCCTATGTTTGATATCACAAATGGTCAGGGCACTACGATGGATGGAACCCTGGCAAAGACATCAGAAAATATGGCACAGTCACTTACTGGCTGTGCAGCCTTAGAGAAGTCATTTAACCTCTTGGAGCCTCATTTTCCTTAACTATAAGATGATAACAGCACCTTGCCCTGACTACCTCACAAGATTGTTGTAAGACTGTCAAATGATTGCATGAGGTGAGATAATGCAAGGGTCAGCAATAGGAAACATTTGCCATAGAGTAAGGCTGCTACTTTCCCTGCAACATCATCCTTGAGACTAAATGAGATATCTACTATGCTTTTCCTATTCCTTTTCTGGCCCATGCTCAAGAAATACTGAGAATACTGAAATCTGGACAGAGAATCCCTATTCACACTGAATCCACAGAACACTTTGGAAAATCCCTGTTTATGAGAAATATATTGATAGACTGGTTCTCTCCAGGAACTAATTAGTTCTCAAGGCTGTAATTGAATTGAAGTTATTCAATTCAACAAACATTTATTAAGTACCTCATATGCAAAATTCATAGTAACTTTGACAGAATCCTGATCCTATGAAATCATGACTTAATTTTTCTTCTATTGATTCTGTCTTTAGAGTCAAAATGACCTAACAACTTCATGCCTCGGCAAACCTGAATGGTTCTTCCATTTATCTACTATATTTTCCACAGTAGGGAAAAGAAATTACAACCAAAATATGAAGTACTGCAATGGATAAAGGAATGAGCCCCTTGATTTAGGTTCAAAAGATTCCAAGAGGCAGGACAGTATAGTGGATAGAGAGCTGAACTTGGAATCATTTGAACCATACAGCAACTCACTGAGACAAGGTTAGGTAGACAAATATAGAGATATACACACACACATATACACATATGTGTATGTATGTTTATGTGTATATTTATACAGAAAGAGAGAGAGATCAGTATATAATGAAACCTATCTCAGTGAATTGCTATTTGGTTTAAATGATTGCAAGTTCACCTCTCTATGAATGACACAGAGTGCTTTAAGGTTTGTAAAGCGCGTATATAAATATATATAAAATTTCATTTGAACTATATAGCAACCACTGAGGCAGGTATCAGTATTATTATACACTGATATACAGATAGATAAATATATATGTATGTATGTATGTATGTATATATATATATATATATATATATATATATGGACAAGTATTAGTGTTATTATATACTGATATAAGTCAGTATGTACTATATATCATATATCATTATATATAATACTGTTAATATTTGTATGTGTGTATATATAAAATTACTGATAATACCTGCCTCAATAAGTTACTATATGGTTCAAATGAGATGATATATGTAAGATGCTTTACCAACTTTAAAGTACTTTGTAAGTATCTGTTATTATTAAAAAGCCCAACTCTGCTATTTACTAGCTGTGTTTTAACCTCCTTGACCCTCAGTTTCTTCATCTGTAAAAGGAGCAGGTTGGATTAGATGATCTATAAGGTCTGCTTCAGTTGCAAATTCTACAATCATCGAAACAAAACAAAATAAAAGAAGGGAATTAAAACAAGATTTTATAACAAGTAAATCCCCTGATATTTTCAAAAGAAAGAAATCTATTTCAGTTGATTATCATCTCTGTTCTGCAAAAGAGATACCTATGCATACTTTCAAAATAAAAGGTTAACACTGAGACAGACTATGTGGAGCAATAGCCCAAGGGCCAAACTATAACTACCCATTTCCTAATTTAGGTGATAAAGGAGATTAGGCCCTATCTAAAAAGCAAAATTGTGCTGCAAAATTTAATTAAACATCTTGGGTTAAAAACTCAAGTAAAAGTAAAAATAGAAGTGGAGAAAATATAGCAAGGAATAATTACAAAAAAAGGAAGGGGAGAAACAGAAAGACTACCTTTGTAGCATTATTAACAAATTAATACAAATATACAACTTAAAAAAGACACAAAAGGAATTGAAAACCAAGGTGTTTAGAAAAGAAATCAGAAATGAAAAGAGAAAGGGCAGCATAATATAAATGGCTTCACACATAAATCAAAGTAAGCAAGTTCCCAAAATGCCAAATGTGGGACATACAATCAAAGAAAAGAACTGACTAAAATAGCCTTCTCCAGATGAAGGAGATCAAAAATACAATATGAAAATATTCAAAGTGAGAGATACTCCAACCAACTCCAGTCAGCAAGCATGTATTAAGCACCTACTATGTGCCAAGCAATATATGGAGCAATGGGGACATGAAGAAAGGCAGAAGCAATCCCTAACCTCAAGGAGTTCCTGATTTAACAAAGGATACCCCCCCCCAAAAAAAAGATGATAGGCAGAAATCAACAGGAGTGGTATAAAAGACTAAAAATATTGGAAATGGGGAAACAACAGTAATGTGATCAAGAAGAAAGTATAGAATAGTCAAATTTTAGCTAACTCCACACTAATGGGTCTAGATAACTAAGGTCTGTATCTAGCTGAAGCCAGTCAGTACTTGAGCTTCAGTCCCCCTCTCTACCATATTCACAGGCTGATTTCCCCACCACTTCTATCCAGTTGATTGCCAGTACAGTAGGTCAGGAACAAAACTAGAATATTTGTCTCATTTGCAAAAGCGAACACCAAGATGATATTTCTTCCCCACTTCAGGTACTGATGTTTAATATGGTCAATAGCTATTTCTAGATCCCACTAATACAAAATTCCCCAGGATACCCTGCAGGACTAGCTTTCTTCATCCCAATTATACTCCCTATTGGCAAATATTATCTTAGTTGTAAAAAGGTAATTACTATTCTTCTCAGCTATTCTTACTACTATCCTGACTGTTCATTAAGACTGGCCTTACCACAATAGGCAATCTTCCATGTAGTATGCTTCTAGGGTCACTGGAAAAGCATTCTTGCCCTCTCCCTCCTTATCAAATAACTCCCTAATCCCCTGAATGATATCTCAAATTCCACATTTAACATTTTAAAGCCTGCTAAAAGGCCATGTATACGTGGGAGGAGTAATGGGGAACCATCAGTCACTTAAAGCTTAGTGTGAATGACTTCATCAGATCCTTGTCCTATAAGGAGGTTAAATGGGGGAATAGTCACAAAAAAGATAGAGTACTCTTCGATGAGGAGAAGAAAGGAACACAAAAGGGGGTATGTGAAGAATAACTTCTTCTAATTTATAATTTTGCCTCAGGCCAGTCCAGTTCCTCAAGTGAAAACAATTATCTTGCTTCTCATATAGAAATAGATTATCTGCCATTTTTTATTGTAGATGATTGTGCATCCTCCATTATTGAAGGTAATCCAGTAGTTCGTAGAAAACTATGTATAGAAAACCATGCACCAGCAAGGGCTGGTAAATAATTATATCTATACTACCCTGAACAGTCACAATTTTCAGCTCCTTCTATCACTTCATCACCTGCTCTCCCCTAGTCCCTTAATACAGTGCTTCTCAAATAAAACAAAACAATTCTTTCCCACAGTACCTAAATAAGAAAAAAATGGGAATACCCCAGGACACTATAAAAAGTGGGACAGAAAATAACACTAGAAAGATCAGAAAACAAAGGAAAATCTAGAACAGGGTGATCAGTGCCTAGTAACCTGTAATTCAAGGTAGAATTATATAATATTGTCCATTGTGAATAGCTAGCACAAAAAAAAATTTGAATGCTCAAGAGAAAGCATGCATTGGGAAATTTTTGTTACATGTGTGAAAATCTCAGCCAAGATACAGAGAAATGGAGGGTTTGTGTAGAAAGAAGACTGTGCTATTTGTAGTAGGTGCAGTTAGCTCAGTTAGCTACGTGGCATTTACTACTAGCATTCAGCACCATTTCACAGTTAAGTCAAAATTCCCATACATGTCTATTGGAAATTTCTTCTTGTCCTAGTGGAAGGAAAACTGGGCCTGGATTTGAATGCCTGCTATTCTACTTACTACCCATGTGACCTTATTTATGTCACTTAACTTAAACTTGGTGATGTTTTTTGATCTCCACAATGAGGCAGTTAAAATTGATGTCAAAGGCCCCTTCCAGCTCCAGCCTATGAAGATATTTGATTACTATAATATAATGCACTGTTGAAAAGAGAGGGACAAACAAAATTTTTGGTTTAACACAAGACTGAAAAGGTTAAAGAGTACTATATTAAGAGGGCAAAGGGCAAAGGAAGATGAGTGGCAAAGAACTCTCCAAAAAAAGTGTACTACTGACTTGAAAAGCAAAGGATAAATATATTATCTTCTGAAGTAGTCATTTATTAAGAAGCAAAGTTTGAAAGTATGAGTGTGACAGCCTCATGCCATATACAACCACAAATCTTTGTTAAAGCATTTCATAAAGCACTAAGCAAGAGGTAGATAGTATCCTATGACCTTCATTTCAATTTCAAGCCATTTCTTATTCTGAGAAAGGTCTATTTTTAAATGGGAGAAACAAAGGTCCTTGAAAAACTGCCACGATAAAATTCCCATAATGAAATTATGTTCATTCTCAGAGGAATGAGGTAGAATTAGATGCTCCAGTGGTGCTGAATTCCTAAATCTAGGTAGCTTCCAGCTAGCTACTGAAGGTTTTCTGTAAGTGTCAAATGGGGTTGGGGAGGGGGATACATCTGCTATAAACAAATTAAGAATGAGCTTTTTAATTTGTAGTTCTTGACCACAAAATTTCTAGAAACATTGATGTTAAAACACTGTTTAAATAAAACTTCATTTTTAATATAAGGAACAGGGTTGAAAACAGCATTAAAATTGTAGTAGGCAGGAAAAGTATCCACCCAAGATCTTTGCCCATGCCCTTCTCAAAGAATGGCAACAGAGTAAGCATTTTCATTGGCTAAAATGTAAAAGTTTCCTAATTCCTAACAGTATGCTTTAGGAAAAGAAAGAAAGAAAGAAAGAAAGAAAGAAAGAAAGAAAGAAAGAAAGAAAGAAAGAAAGAAAGAAAGAAAGAAAGAAAGAAAGAAAGAAAGAAAGAAGAAGGAAGAAGGAAGGAAGGAAGGAAGGAAGGAAGGAAGGAAGGAAGAAAAGAGAAAGAAAGAAAGAAAGAAAGAAAGAAAGAAAGAAAGAAAGAAAGAAAGAAAGAAAGAAAGAAAGAAAGAAAGAAAAAAAACATTAATCATTTCTACACTGGAAGAAAAGAACAGTGTCACTCATCCATGTCCCAGTAGCCACCTAGCACAGTTTCAGGCACAGGGTAGGTGCTCAATAAATATTTGTTCAAGATAAGCATAAACAAATGCAATGATTCTTGCTAAGAGGCAGCATCTTGAGCCCAAAACACTAGATGCTGAATAGCTTGGACTAGATCAACTCTCAGCCTGTCAAGGAAGAGCAAGGCTTTTAATTCCTCTTCTGAAAGAACATCAAGCGACTCTTGTACCACAATGGCTGAGAGCCACTCTAAGTAGAAGTATTTTCTTTCTTTTTTTTTTTTTTACCTGGGACAGCCAGCATGCAGGCTATTAGCTTATCTGAGGAGCAGTTCGCCCACTCTGTATTTCCTGCACACACAGTCAGCTCACCTTCCACCCCTGCCCATTTATTTGCTCTCTTGACTGACTTGAAAGATTATGTATAAGATATATCCAGGTCCCCTGGATCTAACCCTTGACCTTTGAACCAAGAGACCCACAAGCAATACCTATGTACCCAGTCTTTCTAAATTTCTTTGAATGTGGGGGAGGAAGAGGATGGGGTGAAGAGTGAGTTCAAAACCAGAGGATCAGACAGAGGTTCCTTTTAATCTCCTTCCACTATTCCAACCCCAAGGGTAAGGAAATACTTTGTTCCAACGCACGCGCTGGAGAGGAACTGCCCTGTGTCCGAGAAATCAGAGGCAGGGGAAGGGAAGATCGTGGTGTGGGGAAGGAAAAAAGTGTCCAGAAGAGAGTGACCGTACCTGGTGCGGCTGTGGTTTCGAGGGCAGTCCTTCTTCTCCATGATGGCCGGCACACAGTTGGTGAGCTCTGTCCAGTCGGCGTGCAGCCCACAGCTCCAGCCCGTGGAGAAGCGCGAGAAGAGCCACGTCTCCTTTTTGCCTGGTCGGTGGCAGGTGCATTTTTTCTGGCCGGGCTTGCAGCTGCAGGGCTGCTCCAGCCGGATATTCTTCACTAGGTGCCGCCCGAAGGTAGTGCCCCCAGTCTTCTGGATGGGCAAGAAGACGATCACGTGCCGCCCTTTGATGTTGAAATCCACGAAACGAGTCAGGTCCTTAACCGAGAAGTTGAAGCGGGGCACAAATTTGGGCAAAGAGCCATTGTCCTGGGACTCTCGGTCCTGCTCTTCCTCCTCCTCTTCCAACTCCTCGAATTCTTCCTCTGCCTCCTGCACTGGCCCGGCCAGCTGTGCCGCCGGTGATCCCGGAATCTCAGCTTCCTGGTCCCGGGGTGGTGGTTGCTGCTGGTCCTCTCGGGGACCCGCTGGGGCGGCTGCAACCTGGCCCGACTCCCCAGCGCGGAACTTGTCCCCAAAGTTGGTACAGGAACTGGTGCAGGTGGGGGAAACGTACTGGTACATGATGATCAAGAAGAGGAGCGTGAGCACCGGCGTGAGCAACCACTTGTTGAACCTCTCATCCATGGTCCTGCTCTCAGGCCAGAAGGCGAAGCGGCGGCGGTGGGGGAGACGGCGGCAGCTGCTCCACTGAAAGCCCGCGCTGAAGTTTGGACTCCGGGCTGCGGCTCGGAGCCCGCCGCACCTCCATCCCCCTGTGGCCAGGCAGGCGGGACACCCCGCAAAGGCGTCTGGCTGGCTGGCTGGCTGCACTCCGGCGCTCGGGTGGCTCGCTGCTGCTGGCTCCCAAAGGGCTAAGGGAAGGCGGGGAAGCGAACCTGGGTCCCCTAGCCCACCGCTGCTACGGAGGAGAAAGAGGAGGAGGAGGGCGACGATGAGGTGCCATTTCCCTGCACTAAGGGGCGGCGGCTGCGCGAAGACCGTTCCAGAGCTCAAAAGGGACTCTCCCTCTACTCTCCGCCTGGACCCCCTGGGCCGTTAGTCCTCCTAGCCAGAGAAGGGGAGAGCTATCAAGCGTCTCTCAGACCAGAATTGCGCCTCAGGGAGCCAGCCTGCCGCGGGCTCTTAAGCACTTACTATCTGATCTTGGGTCCTGAACCTTCCCCTCTGGTAGCTGAAAATCAGTGCTTGGACCCACACCCAGAAGCTTCATCTTCTTCAGGAGCGAGCCTGGGTACCAGGAAACAGGAGGAGGAGCTTCGGCCCCTGACCCCTCACAATGCCCCGCCCGCCCTAGCCCCTGATGTACCCACCGCCACCACCCAGGCACCCTCCCATTCCCGGGAGCCTTGGGGCAAGGAGAGCCGCGAGCTGCGTGCTGGCTGCCTTTCAGCTGCAAGTTTGCAGATGAGCCCTTGCAGGGGGGAGGAGAGAGAGAAAGGAGCCTCAGGCGAGTCAGTGCACCGCCTCTTCGGAGAAGTCCCACTGCTGCTTCAGGTCTGTCAGCTAGACACACAGGCGTGCGCGAGAGAGAGAAAGAGTCTGGCACCACCGCTACCCACCAGCCGGTGTGACAAGGAGTCCTCCAAGCCGCAGCAAAAACCTGCCCAAGGTACGGAGCATGCGCCAAACCATTCCCTGGCCCTGGAGGCGTTTCCAGGGGAGGAGTCCAAGTCTCTGTTGGGTTTTAGCGGCTCCTGGAGTGTAGGGAATAAGGGGAGATGAGAATTCGGTCAGCTGGACACTGAAAAGGGGTGTGAAGATTAAAGAGGTAAACTGGGGTGCATCTTGCGCAAGTATCAGGAACATTAATTTAAGACGTCTTAAATACTCAGCTTCTTGCTGCTGTGAGCACAGACACGAAACTGACTAGTTTTATTTGTAGAATAGGACACCTAAGCACCCACCAACATGACTTGTTTGCAGTAGACTCCCAGTGGAGGAGACAGTGCGCTCACTATCAGTCCAGGTGTTGGCTGGCCTCTTCTCCGCAATGGAAACTTACCAGAGACTATTTTTTTTTTCCTTTTTATCTCTAGAGTTTGGCTACCTGCCCATAAAGAAAATCTGACTTTGATGTTAAAATTTTAATCTGTTTTCCACAAACTACAGCCTGTCTTTTACACTTTGGAACTTTTGCCAAACACCTTTGCTACTAATATTGGTTCAGAATCTTGGGCAGTTTTATCATTGTCCATATAGTTGAAGATACAGGAGGCACAATAGAGCAACAGAACTATTATGTGACCGATCACACCCAACTAGGAAAATGAATAAACTTAATTTCAATCAAAGCTTAATTTAAGCATACCCTGAAAGAGTTCTTACTCCTGCCACAGGATTACAAGACACATATTATTAAATAATTATGAAAGACACATTAATATGAAAAAATAAAGGTATGGAGATAAATACAACAATCCAGGGAATCCAGGACGCTTTGGAACTGGAAGGGATAGTATGTATTCAATCAAAAACATTTTTTCCTAAGCATGTACTATATGCAAAGGTACTGTGCTATGAGTTGTAAGGGACAAATAGTATGCAAGACATATTCTTGTCTTTAAGGAACTTACATTCTATAAGTTTCAAATGCATTTTAGCGTTAAAATTCTGTTGCTAATACTAATATGTTGTTGAAGCCCTATTTTTAAAAAAAAATGTTAGAAAACAGTTGAGAATAAATATTTAACTTTTATTTTATTTTCACTTAAGCTCTGACTTCATTCATTTTTTTAATCAAGCCTTTGTATTCCGAGAAACGAGGTGCAATGTAAAGAGCACTGCATTTAGAGTCGGTAGACCTAGGTTCCACTCTAAGCTCTACCACTTACTAGGCCCTGTCACTTTGGGCAAGTCAGTTAATTCCTAGTTTATAGTTCATAGTTTACTCATCTGGGGAATGAGTTAATTTCAGTAGGTGCCATTTAAGTTTTCTTACAAATTGGTCATATCCTAATTTGTACAATAGTATGTATCTTATCACCCATGCTCCAGACCAGGGACCATGTCTTATGTATCTATATCTCTCCTGAGCCTAGCACAAGGGTTTTATTGTACAAAGCATACAATTTATGAATGCTTATGGAGTTAAACATTTACTATGTCACAACATCATCAAAATTGGACAAAATATACTACCATTGAATTAGAGTCCCTAATCCTCTGCATTCACACTCCTTATTCTGACTTTGAAGTCTAAATAGAACATGGTTTTTAATGTCCAGCGGAATGAGAGGAGTCTCCTTTTTCATGTACTCCTGTTCAGCCAGCCTAGTATCCACATGCAAGCTCACATCATGATAAGAAGCTAACCTGATTTTTTTTTAATCCAGGAGCTACCACAGCACAGGCTGCATTTATAATCCTCACATATCCCTGGATTGTTGTATTTATCTCCATACCTTTATTTTTTCATACTAATGTGTCTTTCATAATTATTTAATAATATGTGTCTTTAAGTCCTGTGGCAGGAGTAGAACTCTTTCAGGGTATGCCTAAATTAAGCTTTGATTGAAATTAAGTTTATTCATTTTCCTAGTTCTGTGTGATCTGATACGTAAATGTTCTGTTGTCTATTGACAATGATAAAACTGCCCAAGATTCTGAACCAACATTAGTAGCAAAGGTGTTTGGCAAAATGAATTAGCTCATAATAGCTTGTTTGCTTCCATATTTTTTTTCCATTTATCTATAAAATCTTGTTAATCACATTGCAGTATTCTCCAAAGCAAGAAACTGATGTAACAAAAACTCAGTGAAACACAATAGCGTTTCCTAAGTAAACATTGTTGACCATGTCTTTGCTTCAGTCAGATAAAAATATAGCAAACTTCTATATGAATTGATTGAAAAATTGTATAATTTTATACCACAGCCGGTAAAAAAGGATAATTAAGATCATAGAAACCCACTTAGCATATAAAAATGCAAAATTCAGAATGGAGAAATTGTGTTTTTAATGTTGTCTTTGGTTTTAGTAATAATATAGAGAGCACAAAACTATTCCAAATCTTTGGATTGTCTTCTCACAATTAACTTGGGACATAGAAAGGGCAAGTATTGGAAGAATCATAAAATGTTAGAGTCCAAAGAGTCTTCTTCATTTAACAGAAGAAAATGGGGCCCAGAGACTTTCCCTAGTTCATAAGGGAATTACTAGCATATCTAAAGCAGGCTGTCTGATTCCTAAACTGGTGTTCTTCACACTACATCACACTATCTCACCCCTTAAGGGTCACCTTGTAGAGTTAAGGATACAAATACAATGAAATTTGATGGTTTGTATGGGGTCATATATTGAGGTAAGTGTAGATCCAGACCTGGAATCCACACCAATATATTGCTCTATGTTAATACCTTAAAACAAATTTGACCTCTTGTTCTAAAAAATTCAGTATTCGCTTAACAAGGAGCAACAGAGCTCCTTACCTCCTGGCCTCTCAACTCCTATAGCCATTTGAGTCAAAAGAGATAGGAAGAGACAAAGAAGCAGCGGCAGCACAACTTTAAAATAGCCCCTTTTTGCCTTGGTGGTTCAACCAACAGACTAACAAAGATAAGGAGGCAAGCAGGTTCTGATGTATTTGTTGTTGTTGATTATCCCCGCAAATAAAGACAAGCTAGTATTAATTAATTAATTAATAGTATTAATCCTAAGGGGCAAATCCCTTGGAATTAATAAGTTAATAATAATACTAACACTAATAATCATATTTAATAATACTATATCAAGGCTATCATTACTACTAAAGTTAGCAATAATAATACTATAATAAAGTTACTAATAATACTAGTTAATAATATTATAATAACAGTACTACTATTATTAGCTAATAATAATACTAGCTAACTAGTATTAGTTCATTTTCAAAAGGCAAATGCAATCAATACTTAGTTAAGAGATGAGATTTGGGGGATAGGTGGGTAGAAAAGAACTTGACTAGGCCAAATATAGCAACTGTATTGCCTCCCAAAATATTAAGGCATTGGCAAATTAAAATGATGCTTTGTCTGTATTTTGCCTTGCTTTCATCAGTATGACTACTCAGTGGAATTATACTGGGCTAGAGCAGGACTGGACAATCAAAATAAAACATAAAATTTAAAAAATTATGTGCTTAATTCAGGTAATTACCCAAATGATTTATTATTTATTTTCCTTTACTTAAATTGCTAAGGCAATCATTCACAGTTGTGGTCTTTCTCTCATAGCTGTAGAATGGCCTACAAACTCTGATCAGAGTTCTAATATCATAGTAATAAACACACTCCCTCCCTTGCAAGACCAAATTCCAAGTTAAGGTAAAAGCACTATAAACCTTCTAAAATTGAATCTTGTCCAGGTAGAAAGGAAAAGAATGTGTGCCTGTATCCTACAATGGTTGCTCTGCAATGACACCAGCTGGCAAATGCTTCTGGCTAACAGATTGCAGCTCCTGCTACTGTGATTCTTACATAAATTATTAAAATAATAAAAATAATATTTTCAATGTGTTTTCCTCCACTTCCTTTGCCAGTCTAGCAATAAGCCTAACACTATCTGTGAAACAATTTGTTCACTTTATTTTTACGCCTTAATAAAATGTACTGCAATTATTTCTTTTCCTGCTTCATCCTCCCTTATTCCTTTCTGTTGTATCTTCTATTTCACTGCTTGATTTTTTTTTCTTTCACTCGGTCCTAATTCTGTCAGGCAAATTGTTACCTACCAAGATGCAAAATGTTGGCCAGAACAGTCCCCATTGAATCAAATTGAAATGGGAGACTCCATTTCAACTTCTCTTGTAGGATAAAAAGCTTTTGTGCTATAAAAGGAAGTGTCTGGAGAGATAGAGATGGACAACTTGAGCAAACTGCAGAGAAAGGTTTTGGTCACTCTATAATTGTGAAGACACAAATATAGAGATGAAAAACAGAAATGTACCTTTAATTGGAGGTGAAAGTTAAAAGAACCTGTCAAGTCATTAATAGCAATAACATCTTTGAAAATAGAAAACCTCCTACTAACTACACTATTTATAAACAAAAAGTCAGCCCCCCATCTAAGCAGTCCTGCCAAAAACCATCCACGTTCTATGGAATATGGGAAGGTGGGGGCAGAATAAAGAAGGTGGACTACCAGAAATGATTATCAATAGTCAAAAGTCAACACCCAGAAATAACAGTATGCAAGAACTGAGTGGATGTGGATGTCCTACACTTTTAAATAGATACGACTCTACATCCTGCTCTCTGTAGCACTCCACCTAGGGTTAAATACTACATTTTTATAGTTATTTAAATTGTTTTAGCAGTATATTTACCAGAATTGACTTATCAGCATTTTGATGATGGTTTGGAACCATGTATGATTGTTTCTGAATCTTCTCTCATCACCTACCATAATGCTTTACATATGCTTCACTACTTCTAGTCAGTCAATAAACATTTATTAAGCATCTACTTTGTGCCAAGCACTGTGTTAAGAGTTATAGATACAAATGCAAGTGAAAAAAAAAAGACTGGCCCCAGCCTCAAGGAGCTTACAGTTTAATGGACAGAGACCACACACAAAAGGAAACTGAAAATGGGGGGGGGGGAGAAGGGACTGAGATATCCAGTGTGAGTGGG